TTAAAATTATTATGAAAGGTTATTTATTATATAGTCAATTTACACCGATTTTACCGGCACTATACCTTGGGCCAACTGAGTTTAAAAGTAAGAAATGTACAAACGTTTATATTAGACAAATCTTCAACAATGTCATGTTTCCCTACAGGTCTGTAAGGAATAATTTGGATCTTTTCTTTGACAAACGAATGCTTAAACATATTAGAACCTCATATTTAAAATTTCCAGTTCACCCCAAAATTAAAGAAACTCACTTTAAAATGTTATATGGTATTTACCCTTCTGGAGAGTTTCTAAGGGTTAGATTTAATTTTGAAACAATATTATGTACATTTTGTAACGCATCTCCAGATAATACAGAGCACATATTTTATTGCTTGTAAATATTCTAGTATCTTCTGGGACAAAGTGCAACTTTGGTTAAAAGAGGGAAATGTGGTTGAATTGAACCTGTCCTTTATAGATATTAAGTATGGAAACTATGAAGAAGGTGGTAAAAAAAAAGGTTTGTTTATTAATGTTTTACTTTTGTTAGTGAATAATTTTATTCACAAATGTAGATTTTTTTTAAATCACCCCCATGTTTATAGTATTTAAGAATTATTTGAGACAATACTCAAAAACTTTGTCAAAAACAAAAAATTTAAAAGCTGTAATCTTGTTAATTTATTTGATAAATACAATTTATTATAATGTTTTATTTTATCCCCTGTGTTTAATCTATATTTATTAATATAGATGGTTTAAAGAATGAATGTGTTTTTTTGTATTCTATTTAAGTCTAAGCCTCTCTTAAAACTGATGTCCTTGAATGTAAGTTGTATGCTGTAAACTTGTAATTTTTTGTTATACTTCAAAAAAAAATAAAAAAATACTGTAAGCATTCTTAGTCATTACTTCACAAATACTTTATTACTCGAGGGATTTTGTTAGAATTCTTTAATAGATAAGATTAACTGGAAAAAGCATGGCTTTTACCTTATCATTTTTTTAAGAAGTTAAAGTTAAAGAACTACATTTAAAAAGTTTGCATCTGGGACAAAGTGCAACTATGGTTAAAAGTGGGAAACGTGGTTGAATTGAACCTGTCCTTTATAGATATTAAGTATGGAAACTATGAAGAAGGTGGTAAAAAAAAAGGTTTGTTTATTAATGTTTTACTTTTGTTAGTGAATAATTTTATTCACAAATGTAGATTTTTTTTAAATCACCCCCATGTTTATAGTATTTAAGAATTATTTGAGACAATACTCAAAAACTTTGTCAAAAACAAAAAATTTAAAAGCTGTAACGTTGTTAATTTGTTTGATAAATACAATGTATTATAATGTTTTATTTTATCCCCTGTGTTTAATCTATATTTATTAATATAGATGGTTTAAAGAATTAATGTGTTTTTTTGTATTCTATTTAAGTCTACGCCTCTCTTAAAACTGATGTCCTTGAATGTAAGTTGTATGCTGTAAACTTGTAATTTTTTGTTATACTTCAAAAAAAAAATTTTAAATACTGTAAGCATTCTTAGTCATTACTTAACAAATACTTTATTACTCGAGGGGATTTTGTTAGAATTCTTTAATAGATAAGATTAACTGGAAAAAGCATGGCTTTTACCTTATCATTTTTTTAAGAAGTTAAAGTTAAAGAACTACATTTAAAAAGTTTGCATATACCCACTAATGAGATTAGGCCTTCGGTAATGTAAAAAATTTGGTAAAATTCACTTGTGTTGTAATTTCTCAATTGAGCATCTTTTTTTAACTTGTTTCATAAATCTTATTTTAGCTAAATACCATATTTATAAATGTAAATTTTAAATGCAAACCTCTTTTTTTAAGATTCAAACTTGACATTAAAATGTATTTTGAATCTATTGAGTTCTCTACAAACTTAAAAGCAATAAGAACAATGGCTTTGCTAAAGGACTTGGCACTTCCTCGACTGAATGACCCTGGACTGGTGTTATATTGTTATGATTTGACAATGATGACAATTGTTATTGTTTTTCTCAAGCATTCAATTTTTTAAAAACTGTAAGCGTTTTTATTAATCTTTTTTCAATGATCTGATTTTTTGTTTTCAATAAGCCACATCAAATCGCCAGGGGCAATTATGAAAAACAAAAAGACAAAATACAAGTGAAAGTGCATATATAATAAATACATTGTAAAGCTGACAAATGTTTAAAGTCCTAATGCTTTTTATTTTTTCCCCAATGTCCTTGCATTCACTCAGTTAAACCATAAAAGTTAATCAAAGAATGGAGTTTGGTTTGTAATCCTAAAACCTGCAATACCATTTCGAGCAATGGGTTCACTCAGAAATGTCCTATGGGTTGTTTTTGATTTATTGATAAATTAACGACTTTCTGTTTAAGGACTACAACTACCACAAGGATGTACGCTTACCTGTATGAGGAACTGGACAACAGGTGTAGTTCTTATGTAACTTGTTAGCAACTTCTAATTTTAAATTACACAGCAGCTTCAAAACTTACTCGAAGGTAATTTATCCTTAAGTGAAAAAATGAGAAGGTCCTTTAATATCAATAACCACAGACCAAATATTTACGTTGCGTGTTAACGTCACTATTACGTGATGACGTAAACAAACTGGTGGCGAATCGTGTTTTGTTCTGTTCATTGAAACGAACTGTTTGATAGAACGCTTTCTCTTTATACATTTGACAAATTTATTAAAATAATTGTTAATAGATTTGCCCAAACAGTGCTTAACTTCCTGGTTCAAAATAATTTATTGTATATTTCTGTTTCTATGTTCTCACTAATCATTTATTTTCTAGCACGCGTTCTTGCTTTTAGTAAATTACACAAGCTAAAGGACGACTAATCAAGTAGGTCTAACATTTATGCTGGAGAGAGTAAGTTACACACAAACGCCCCACGTTAGTGAAATGGTTCATATTTATTTAGGAACTTTGACGAACAATTATTATTATTATTGTTGTTGTTGTTGTTGCTGCTGAAAATATGAACATACAAAACAGTACAAAATATCAAAAGTAGTGACACTTGAAAAGACAATAACAAAAGTAAAACAGTAAAAATACAATAAAAAAATAAAGTAAATAAAAACAAAAAAATGCAATGAATGGCCATCATTTGACATACGATTCCTTATACGAAGACTTTAAATGCGGAGCATATTCTAACAGTCTTCATAGCTTTCTTATTAGTAGATACCGAAATCACATTTAAATAATTCTCCATGTGTCTTAAAAAGAGCACAAAGACAGGTTTACAAATCTCGCGCTGAACCTGTATATATAATGGTGTGGCGTCGTGACGCTTCTGTGAGGCGGAGTCAGAGTCAGACAGGTTTCGCAGGTGTGTACGTTCACAACAACACAAGAAACCCGAACGAAACCCAGACAAATCACTGCTTACTTCGTCCATTTCAGTAAAAGGTAGGCTCTGTGTTAATTAATTGCTTCATTACCGAGTTACTTGTAAATATTCGTTACCTTGTACGGTTTATTTTGGTGATTAGTTTCAGGAAATGAGACCATCTTGCGACAGAATAAAAAGTTTACTTTACAGAAATAGCCTACTTTTATAAAAGTTATATGATTAAATGGAGAATCTTTCTTGATGGGAGACTGTTCCAACCCACATCAGTTAACTAGCAACAACTTGTCATGTTGGTTTCACTATTATTCAGGTGAACGTGCATCAAATTTTAAACCCATGAAATTTGTGAAATCTCCTTATTTCTCAGGCAATGCCAGAATCAAGCCGGCATCATCACACAAGGGACAAAAACTACTCTAGTCGAGACAGGAGAGATGAGTACAGAGAGGACAGGAGAACACCTGATGGAGACGACAGATCACGAAGCCACCGAGAGAAGCAACGATATGCTGACACACAAAGGGACCCCCGTGTGTACGAGGCCACCCGTTATCATAGTCAGGGAGTGTAAGGAGTGATTTTGATGTCTCTTTCCCACCTACAAAATAATTATGTCCTCAGCAGAAGTATGCATGCATGCTGTGACTTTCTGCCCTGCTTGTTGTAATATTTTCTACAGGCCCAGTTACACCGAGACATCATCTTCATACTATGATGACAGTCAACCCTACCATCATGCACTTTACAACCTAAGATACATCACAACTAGCAGAGGTAAACTCACTTTGAGGTTTTGTTTGTGCTGGAGAAGCTACTTTGAAACCGTCTCATGCTAACCTAGAAAGCTTAGAAATTAACAGTCAAATTATCTTTTAATTTTGGGGAAAAAAAGTCATCAACCATGGTATCAAACTAGGTGGAGATATAAAACAAAAAGGAGTTTTCAATAAAAGTTTAATACAGCTACACTAGAATGTAGGGCTGCATGATAAATCGAAATGGAATCGAGATCGCGATTAGGCAGAAGCTGCGATTGTCATGCGTATCTTTCAGTGAAGCACGGTTCTGTGATCAGCAGTAAATCTCCATCCAAAGGCCAGAGGGCGCTCTCGCGCTGAAACCCCAAATACGCTTCGCAGAAAAAAACCAGAAAATGCCTATTGCTGCAGCTGAATAAACAGAAGATTCAACTGCTTTCATTGATTCAACGTGACTAATAAACACACGACTACGGCAATATACGGTTTATCTGAGTTCTTATTATAATTTTCATTCAAATAAAGTATATTTATAATGCAATGCCTTTATCATTGCTTAAATACTATGAAATATGTTGCGTGCCTTATTCTGTGTAAGAAGCCACATCATCTCACAGAAGGATTTATTTCAAACACTCGACTGATGTTATGAAGTGAGTTTGGAGTAAAAATATGTTATTAAATGTGGTATTTTCACATGCTTTCAGATGGAGCAGCATTTACTTCACAGAGCCGTAGTTCACTGAGAAGCTATGCAAACAGCTGTCATTATCGCGAACGATTTCAGAATCGCGCAATGAAATCGGTTTTTTTTGCGTAACTTGTCAGTGAACTACGGCTATGTGTAGTAAATTCTGCTCCATCTGAAAGCACGTGATGATGATTTCCTACTGATTACAGAACCGGCTTTACTAACAAAATGCGCATTATAAATGTATTTATAGTCAGTTTTGATAAAAGTATTAATTATTATTAAATAGTTTAATTATTAAACAATCTTTCTGATCCCAACTTTGTGAACAATATTGTTGTAGTAGTGGTAGTAGTATATATTTATTTAATGCCATGTCAGCATCTTTAAGCCCCATTCACACGGGCGTCAACGCTTCTCGTTTACTTTGAATGGAGTGACGTCAAGTGTTGGCAAAATGAATTGTGGGTCCGTCGCGTCGCGTCGCGTTGGGTCCGTTGCTCGCGGCAGAAGTTGAAAACTTTTCAACTTTTCAAGCGCCAACGCAGGCGTCAGCCAATCAGATCGCCTTATGCAAATACCCTGGTGCAGACGCTAGCCAATCGCATTCATGCAACACCAGAAAACTAATGTGATTGGCTGTTGTCACTATGACGGTACCGTCAGCACCAAGCTTCAGAAACGCCCTCCGTCAAGCGTTAACGCTGACGCCCCGTGTGAATGGTGCTTTGAATGGAGTGACGTCAAGTGTTGCCGAAATGAATTGTGGGTCCGTCGCATCGCGTTGGGTCCGTTGCTCGCGGCAGAAGTTGAATACTTTTCAAGCGCCAATGCAGGCGTCAGCCAATCAGATCGCCTTATGCAAATACCCTGGTGCAGACGCTAGCAAATCGCGTTCATGCAACACCAGAAAACTAATGTGATTGGCTGTTGTCACTATGACGGTCGCGTCA